TGACAATAACTGAGTTTTTGACTGTCTCATCAGTGGGACAACATGTACTGCTGCTACTGCTGCTGCTGGAGTCACGTGTACTAGATTGGCCCGTTCACTGGCATATTCATGTCAGACTCGCCCAGTGTGGCTCTTCATCTGATGTGATAGAGCATGAGCTGTTATACAAAGAATAATTGGCAGGAAAACGCAGCCAGTGGATGTGCGAAACTTGTAGAGACTTGCTGCTGTAATTGCAGCAAAACACGGTTCCACAAAGTATTAACTAATAGTCCTTTTTCACGCCTAGCCATTTTATGATAAGCTACAGTAGTATTTTATCACCACCGTGTGTGGAGAGAATCAATGACGCCGTCTTTGAGTGTCCAAATAAACACTACATCAAAAGCAAAAACCGCTGCATTATTATGACGTCTCGGTGGACAACACTGCAGGCGCCTGGGTTACGATTGTTATAGGACTGGACTTTTTCCCAAACCAATCAAAATTAGTGCATTACAGAAACCGGCTTATGGAGATGTACTTAGTGCACCCTTGAGATCACTGTGTTTAGGTTGGCAGGTTTGTTGTGCAAGTATATTTCCAAAACACTGGAGGGCGCTAGAGGGTAATGGAACTAAACTAAAACAGTTTAATATGTGCTGAAAACTTTTTGTGGAGACATTTAGTGGTAGCCTGGCCTTAGCCATCCGTACACTCCGCTCAATCATCATTTCACTGCTGTAATTTGTACTACGGTCCGACCAGGCTAATTCAGTAGAAGTAGCAATAGTAATTTATTGGGGTACAGTACATACTGTACAGAGTAATTTTGTATGGATATTATTGAATTTGGATGCAGAGCTTAGCATGATAAAAGAGACTGAATACTTTCGTAAGAATCACACCTAAAAACAAATGAAATGCTGTATATTACTTGTGTTGGTCTTTCACACAGATGGAAGCATTCATGGGGTATGAATAATAATTCAAGCTGTTGTATTTAGAGCATGCATGTGAAATATCATTGCTGATCTAAGATGATGGAACCAAGGAATACATTTTACACGCATTAGAATCTATGCCCACCGTATCACTCTGCACTCTGCCCCTGCTTCTGCCTAGCTTCAGGAAAATATGCTGTTCTTGGAAGATGACACCTTGGCAGAATTGTTGAAATGCTTTTTGGTTGTATAAGATTGCGAATGGTGTGAAACCTATTATTAAGTCAATTAGGTGTGCTTTTCATTTTCACATTATAATGGCGTTAGAAACTCCTTCTGACCATGAGTAGAATTCTCCATTCCCCAGTTCTCCATAGTGTCTATTTCCCTGTAACTTCTGTGACAGCTTGAAGTCTAACCCTTTTGTTGTAGTTGTAGATGAGGTTTTGATCCTCTCTGTTGGTGAAGCTGCCCATCAGTCTCGACAGAAAAGCTTCCAGTTCTTATATATTCCTGGGTTGAACTGCACATTTAAGATCACCCCATATTTTAATAAAATAGAAAACTTGACAATACATGGCTTCAGAAAACCACTACATATCCCCTTTCATTTGGATCACATACTCGGCTTTGTGGCTGCGTTAGGCGTTCAGTCACTCCGCGGTTCTCTGATGAGGCCTTCTCCTTTTCCCTGGACTCGGCCTGAAAACGAGGACAGCTGGAGAAGGTCACACGCTGTATTTTAAGAAGAGCATGGAGCAGAGTGCTTTGTTGACAGATGATGGCCCTCACGGATCAGGGGAAAAGGGGATTGGAAAGTCCTGTCTGCAGACTCCAAGCTCAGGCAGGAGAATATGTAGAACGGATACTACCATTTCAATTGATGGTAGGGGACAGACATATTTACTTTTGACACAACTTTTGACTCTGTTATGGTTTTTCCATTTACACACTCAAATTTGATCTGAAAGCAATTAATTAATAGCAATGTATATTTCTCCATTGTGAGTTTATCTTATCTTAAAAGTACACTGTGTATTTTTACTCCTATCTATCGTTAAGATCATATAATGCAGTCTACTGTCAACCGGCAGCACTATTATAGCCTTCGTCTTTGATTGTGGTCCCCAACTCCCGGTCATTCGAAACCAGGTCGCCAGGAAAGAATCCATTAGTTTGATTAATTACCCGGATCTCTCCATACGTCTTAGTCACTTGACCAGTAGCGCTAAGTAAACAAATGTGACTCCACAAACAAAGTCTGCTTTCTGAAGCGGCACCCGTGCGCCGCACAGAGGCTCCAATGAAGTTTGGAAGTTTTGAATGTCCAGCCGGCCGGCCAGGTCATGGGTATACACAGCCAGGACATGGGCAGACCAGTGGGGGCGGGTCCCAGCTCAAAAGTGGCCAAAATGACGTGCGCTGACATGCTTGCAATACCACCCCGGGCCGATGGGGGTGGACCCAGAAGAAGAATTAGCCAATGCTAACATATAGCATTGGCAGACCTCTCGAAAACATCTTTACAGGATGGACCAAAAGTTGGCTCTTGGCCCAAAGCTCCGTTCCACATGTGTGTCAATGCTGAGGGGAGGGAATTTTTTTGGTCCACTCTAGTTTACTTGCTGTGAATTTTTGAAGTCACTCGTTCAAATGAATGGAGCTGCGCCGGCTGACGCATGCGCAGAGGCGTTTTTTCACAATTTTCTTGTGGGCGGGACCACTCGCTGCCATTTTGGATAGCTCCAGTAGAGCACATTTTTTGGCCCATTAGTTAGAACGGCGTGACTCTGTCCGTTAATATAAACAGTATACTAGTCTATGGGGTATACACAGTCAGGACATGGGTATACACAGCCAGGACATGGGTATACACAGCCAGGACATGGGTATACACAGCCAGGACATGGGTATACACAGTCAGGACATTGGTATACACAGCCAGGACATGGGTATACACAGCCAGGACATGGGTATACACAGCCAGGACATGGGTATACACAGTCAGGACATTGGTATACACAGCCAGGACATGGGTATACACAGCCAGGACATGGGTATACACAGTCAGGACATTGGTATACACAGCCAGGACATGGGTATACACAGCCAGGACATGGGTATACACAGCCAGGACATGGGTATACACAGTCAGGACATGGGTATACACAGCCGTGGTGTGTATACCCATTGTTTTGTGGGGGATTCTTTACGTCTTGCTCACTGAATCGCATCTTTTTTGTCCCTTATCATCCAATGTATTTCAAGATGGCGCCCGGTGGCTGAGTGGATAGCACTCTCGCCTCTCAGCAAGAAGATACATTCTTTTTTAATAAAGTGCACCTTTACCTTGACATTGAGAGTAAAATAGGTAAATATTCTTAAAAAGGTCACATTTGTTATTGGTTAACATGTTTTTTTTTTCATTTGGAGCAACTGTAAAAATTACACAGAGTACCTTTAATGCATGTTTGAGTTTTTTATCTTCTCCTGAGGCTCTGACCACCGTGACATGCCACTGTTATTTTACTAGATATATATATATTATGAGCCATAGGTCTCGACAGTAGCACATTATGTCTTCCCTAAAGAATATTGGAAACACCTTTAGGCCAAATGAAAATTAGACTTTTTTTTAATCGGGAAACAATATTCAAAACCAATAAAATAGTGAATATTGAAAAAGTAGTGTGTACTATTTCTAGTTAAACCCCAGAAGATGGATTGCATCATCAAACCTTCTGTCGCGCTTACGCAAATCAATATTAACGCTGTCATTTTTTAATGGAGCTATTAATTTGTGACCCACTTTACATGTAGATTTTTTTTTAGCTGTGGGGTCTGTTAGTATGATAAAAAAAAGGACAGAAACAGGAGCTGGAGATGACGGTGCTAATTGAGCTAATAATTTGTTCATGCAGTGGCCTAAACTTCAACTTTTTGGAAAAACATGGAGGAGGTTGCCATTGCTGGCTCTATAATAATGTCCTCATATTTATGTTGTCATATTGGCAGCTTGGTTGACTCTCTCCTAACCACACACACACACGCACACACACACATGCGCACACACACACACATGACTTTCTGTTGCTGTGAGGACCTGGCATCTTATGGCATCGTGACTTAGTACTGACTTTTGTCAAGTCCCCCGAGATGGCTGTTGTGGATTAGGGCTATACAAATAAAACTGAATGTTATTGGATGGAAAAAGGACTACTTAGTGCACAATTCAAGTTAGAGTATAACTGATTTTACAACTACACGAGGTGCAAGTCTGTCAAGTCGTTTGAATAGTTCTTTTCGTCGTCTGTCACAACTTAAGATTTTCTCACAGATGTGTCAAGTAGAGTTAACCAACCCATGCCAGCCCGTCATCTTCTGCCCATGTAGTGACTCACTAGTGACCGGAAAAGCCAACAGCTCTTGTCGGCTCTCTCTGTGCTGTTCACAACATACCAGGAAGCAGGAAAACCCTTGGACACCAAACTGGAAAGTGCTTGGAAATACACAGGACTCGTTTTTATGTGAATGGGGCAACACCAGTGGATCTCGTTCAAAAGTTAATTTGTTTCTGTAAATCAACTTGAAATGTGAAACCAATACATGATATAGATTCATTACACGCACAATGACATAGCCTTTGTTTGTTGTCATTTTGATTATAGAATCTGTGGATCTTTGCGCACCAGAGCTTTCCTGGAAGTTTATCAGGTTTCAGATTTGTTCAGTTTTTCAGACAGAAAGAATTCAGGACACTGTTTCAATACCATCATTTTCAAAATATTCAAATGTTCTGAGATATTTCATTTGTGGTTTTTACAAGCTATATCTCACTTCTATTTTACTGATATATTCCAAATGGTACTCAGAAAGCCGTAGATTGCAGAAGGTGATGATGCTGTCTGAGAAGTCTGAATGTTTTGAGTTTTAACAACATCGCTTCGTTATCAAAAACAACGAAAACATAAACAGTGAATAAAATGTAAATCGTTTCAGAACAGTTTTATAAGAAGGTGAAGGCAGCGTCAAGGTGGACCACTGCCAGACCAACCTCCCTCTCTGCATAAGTAGGTCATGTGCAGTGCGGAGCGCGAGGGGGCGGGGCTACGGCAGAGGCAGGGGACCAGCACGCGGCGTCCTCAGCCATCTGGTTCTGACGGGAGGGACTGGGGCTCACGGAGATCCACAAGAGGAGAGAGAGAAAGGAGGATTCTTTCAGTCAAGGTGACCTTCAGAGGCTGGCGACAACTGTTGAGCCATTTTTCGAATCCCTAGACTCGAAAAATTTAACAAGTCGATTCGTTGCAACTAATTGATTATTGAAATAGTTGTCGACTAATTCTTGTAATTGATGAATCGTTCGACAACAAGATTGAACATTTTTGAACAAGATTTATATACACATGCTGGCAAGAAGTTTTATGACTCCCAACTGAGATGTAATCACTGCAGAATATAAATCATTTGTGAATAGTAAAAAAAACAGTGAATTTTGTTATAACCCGTCCATAAGAGTTTCTCGAAGTGCTTCCTTTTAGCGCTCTTTCGTTATCCAAACAAATAACTGATCAGTCGAATGGTTGATCCGCTCACTAATTTACCATCCAAATATTTGACAGCCCTACTCTGGCTACACTGCAAACCACTTCAGCTTTTAGCTCTGAAAACACCTCCAATACACCCTATTGTGATCTGCAGCAGGTGGAGAATAGGGCTGGGTATCTCTCAGAGCCGGCCAATGCAGTATATATATCCATTCCCATGACATCATCTAATTCGTGTCTTGATAAATTTGATTATTTATTCAATATTATTTAATGTGACATATTTTTATCTATAAGGTTTGAATAAAGATTTTTGGTCCCCTATCTACTGTATCCCCATTTTACTAAAAAGACAACACAAAATATTAAAACAAATTGAAAATAATTAGGGTTGTTTCAAGTACAACACATAATATTGAACAAATTGAAAATATCTCGATTTATTTTACTCCCGCGCAATTAACATTAACACCGAGGTTTGAAAAGACACTGGATGACGTGAGCGCTTGTACAATCCCAATCTCCTCTCACCCATTCATTAGAACACAAAAGCAAAGTAAAACAAAAACATTGCCATACAGAGCGTTTCAGCCAATAGTGTGTAGTAATCAGTAATGCAATTCAACTCAATACCAGCGATGGCAAGATGAGATAAACTTTATTGATCTCACAATGGAGAAATTCACATTTGGCATGGATAGAATCACTCAGGGGGTGCAAAAAGACAGGAAGCGTGCTAACATGTTAAACGTTAATACAGTCTTTTTTGTGCAGGATATAATTATGTACAATTAAAAATTGGCTATAGCAGTGCAGGTCATTGGGGACTTACAGAGACTTATTATACAGTCTGGACAACACAAAACACAACACACAAGCACACTGACACACTTGGACTCTGCACCTCTCTCCCATGACTTGCTCTGAGCTGAGGGCATCACTCGCTTTTAGCCGCACTTTCTTTCAGTACTTCTTTTTGAATCTTAAAATTGAAACAGGTTTTTCATGGGTTTTTTTTTATCCGTCCCACCAGACCCTGACTTGCATAGTAAGAGCAACACCTGTTACTACTATGATGTAACACTTCATATTCTTTCATCTCTGACTCTGGCCAGACTTCAAATAATATCCAGATTACAAGCGATGACATTAACCCTTTAGGCGCCAGCGCTTTTTGTTTTTGAGAAAAGGATTGTTTAAAAAAGACAAAAAGTTACGCCCTGTGACTTAACAAAAGATTGCGGTCTACAATAATCAATACTGGAAACACAAAGAAAAAAAAGATGTTCGCAAAATGTAGAGAGACGACCGTGGGAAGAAAGATTGCTGTATAGAAAGTGTTCTGGATAAAGAAGCCTGTGTGGCAATTTGGCTACTTTGGCGCCTAAATGGTAAGATATCAACAACAACCAAAAGTCCAAAAGTTTTCTTATCAGTTCATAAATTCAGCTTATAAACTTTTAGAGAAGAGAGGGGATTGGAATAAGTCTCTGTTTCGTCCAACCCCTTATCAAACATGTACTTGTCTTTGAACCGCTTTGACACATAACTTCATTAGATATGTTCTTTCGAGATATATTTCCGCTTGAGCAGTTTTCCCACTTGTTATTTCCAAGCCACTCTTCTCTGACAGTAGCGATAGCCTTTGCCCTGCGTCAGCTCGAATCACCTCCAGCCTAATAGTTGATCTAATGCTATAGCTACACTGGAGTGGTGTGGGATTTCCAACGGTCCACTCTCATGTGAAATATGTTCCCTCTCATGAAGTCAAGTGGACAGTGGAAGAAATCAGAAAAGTGAAAGCTCTGTATGACCTTTTTCTTGCGGCGGTAACTGCAGGAACGCTGTATTGATTAGTTAGTAAGTAAGTAGTAATGTTTACTTTTAAAGCGCATTTTACAGACCAAGGTTACAGACCCAAAACGCTTTACAATCTTCCAAAATCCAATATTTTTCCAATCTCTCCACATCCATTCATTAGTGCAAGACGGAAGGAGACATAACATCAAAAATAGACCTGCCATTGATTTGGCCCAATCTTGTTCCCCTTTTTTTCCGTCTGCATGAATGTTCCTGTCTCTATACTGGTGTGCTATAATGAATTCTTAAATTATAATTTCACGTTCGGAACCTTTTTCATGCCTTTAAAATGTCTCCTGTTAAAGATGCAGTCAGTGATTTTTATCCAGACGCACTTTTTAAAATATTGTGGGAAAACGTTAGTCTGACTCTCGCCAGACCCATGTTCGCTGCACTTCACACATGAGTCTGGTACTGAGCCATAGTGGTTGGATTTCAGAAGGCAGGGCCTTATAAAAAAATCCTTGTATGTGATTGGATAGACCACTTGTCCGTTATCTTGAATGAAGTCTGCTTTCAACCACTCACATCAAAGCACACGGCTCCCATAGGTTGCCAAATCCCAGCAAGATTTTCCACCCCAAAATTCGCAAGAATACCCAAAAAAAAAACCACTCAGAATGATTTTTTGGCTAAAAACGTAATGTAATCAACTTGGGCTACCATGATTCTGTTTATCGTCTTTCTGTTTATTTAATACCTACAAGTCTCTTGGAAAAAATGCGGAAACCACCAAACCTGGCAACCCTGCTGCATAGTGTGTAAACAGGAACACTGAACCAGTGCTTCAACCAAACTTTACAGGAACATTTGACTCTTAAAACACACATATATCGACATAGAACCATCTACATCTCGTCTCAAATTGCATTAAAAGTGACATCCGTGCCTTAATTTGATCGTATTTACTCTTTTAAAAAGATTCGCGGACTTTACGTCCGCCATCTTGGATTCCTCTCGCTGCTGCATGAGAGAAGCTTGAGAAGGCAGTGCAAACCCCACGTAACACCGGCAATCCTGATTGGTCGATTAAAAAATAACCTGGGGAAGGCGTTCGCTATGGGCTCGATACCAGACCCATGTGGTTCAGCCAAACGCCTCTGGTGGAGCATGGCGGAACTACAAGGGTCTGGCAGAGCCAGGCTAGGAGTTGACCAGATGACTATAGTCTCCAAAAATTAATAACAAATATTTTGGAGCAGACTGATAAAAACAAACCAATGGGATTTGTTCATCCCCAACGAACCAATGGGATGCGTTTACCCCGTTCACCCTCTTCCTGTTTCTTTCGAGTGCACAGAGTTATCGGATTTTCTAAAACCTAAAATGGCAATTTCCTGTTCACCACCCACTCTCCCTGTTGTGACAAAGAAAAGAAATACTGGATGTTTGGTTTGGTGGAGAGGCGACGGGAGGGGGGAGTGATACCGCACCTTTAAATTACGTTCTTTTGACTGCATTGATCAAACGTGGATCATTGCACTGATGAATGTTTGATCTTAATCAAAGAGTATAATAGATTCACCACCACTTGTAGAAATGGGGCGACAGTGGCTCAGTTGGTAGAGCATTGGTCTTCGGGCCTGAAAGTTGTGGGTTCAAGTCCACCATGAGACATACTTCACGACTCCCACTGTTGTAAGCTGTTGTTGTGTCCTTGGGCAAGACACTTAACCCCACTTTACCTGAAGCCCCTGCTGAAAGAGCTCAGCTCCTGTGGACTCACCACCTGCAGAAGGATCAGTGAGGGGCTGGTGCTAAGTGTACTGGATGCAGCTCTGACTGCCACCCCTCCGACCCAGAAATAGATTAAGGGGAAGATAATGGTTGGATATCCATATATTTTACAAGTAAGGGATAATGTATAGCCTACAGGTCATTATCGGAAAATAAGTACCGACAGGGCGAAGCGGACCCCGACGGGGTCTGCTTCCGCCCTGAAGGTACTTATTTTCCGATAATGACCTGTAGGCTATACATTATCCCGCTTATTATACTGCTTTGTACCAACTTAACACACAAAATAAACTTCAGATCACTTTTATGAATGCCAAAAGTTTATTTAATGACAACAAATAAAGTAGTCCCAAAAAGTTTTCCCGTTGCTCGGCAACCGCGGGCAACAGTTAGGCTGGCAACTTCCAAACTAGAACTCTCTGGAACTGCATGAAAACTGAACAAAGAATTCTGAACATCAGCGGTGAGTGACCCATACATAAACCTAACCTAAATCCATAATTCGATCCTCTGCAAATGTGTCCGAAAATGTGCCGGTATCTTAAAATGTGCCGGTATCTACTTCCGGGTTTTTCGGGATCGCCTTTTCTCGCATTACATCAGTGTTTTTGTCATGAAAACGTAAACGGAAAATTCTGAAAACTTCCGTGCACTTGTATTAAGACTGGATATGTATAAATTACTCTCCGATTAACATTTCATTGCGTTGATTGATTGGCATTTGCGTTTATTGAGCGGCCAGAACTACTTCCGGGTTTTTCCACGATCGCTTTTTGACGCAGAGAAATAGTATTTTTGTCATAAAGACAAGACCAGAAAATTCTGAAAATTTCCGTGCACGTGTGTGAAGAATGTATATGTATAAGTATTCTCCGATTAACATTTAAGTGTGTTGATTGAGCGTGGCTAGCTCAGGAGTGGCCGGAACTACTTGCGGAGTTATCCACGCATTTGAAAGACAAGCAGAGAGAGCGTTGCCATGGGCAGCGGTCATTATTGTTTTGAGAGGTCCGTTATAGAAAATAATGACCGGTAGAACGTTTTGAAATTACATTCAAATCAATGGAGCGTTCTCCTGCTGCTGTGAGGAGCTGTATAATAACTTGAATTAGTTCCCATAAGGCAGTGATTCCCAAACCCCCACTAAAAAATGGTGGAGGTTTCTTTTGACACACATTTTGTTTTCAGTTCATTGCAGTTTATACGACACATTGTAATTAATATAAACCTCAACCCTAACTGCAGATTTTAATGTGTCAAAAATGAAGCTCAAGCGGATGTTCAGACTGAAAGACCGAGTGCCTGCCAGCCTCGAGCCTCAGCCAATCACACAGCTCTGCCAGCCTCGAGCCTCAGCCAATCACACAGCCAGGCCAGCCTCCTGCCAACCCTCTCAGAGCAAAGCGGGCAGTTTAAAAGGCAGCCACTTCCTGACAAACAACGCTTCCTGAGGCTCTTAAACACCCACCACCTCCCCAGCACCCCCTCTGGCTCTTGGCTCCCGCTCTGGCTCCCGCTCTGGCTCCCGCTCTAGGCTCCCACTCCGGCTCCTGCTCCGCCTACGCCCCATTCACACCATACTCTAGCCACCACCAGTGATTGACCCCGGGGGATCTGAGATCATCTCAGCTGCAATCGATCTCATAGCTGCAAGTGTCACTGCCGGGGTCAATGCGCCAAACAAATAAATCATTTTAATGTATTTATCGTGTCTTTGGTCTCTTCAGATTGAAATGTGTCCATCTTAAACTGGCAGTGTCATTTAGCCTACTCTATCTTCGTTCATTCATTCGTCCCACACAATGTCTCTGCGCACCCCACTTTGAGAACCACTGCCATAAGGTGCTTTAAAGCTGCAGACCCCATGTTTGTTGAAAACATACAGTTTTTCTTGTCTGACAGCTGAATTATTTTGCATATCAGTACAAATCAACCTTACCATTTGAACTCATGGCAATACTAACGTGACAAGACACCATTCTTCTTTGCAATTTTCCTTTTAATTACACTCCTCCCCGGGGAACCAGCGAAGTAGTTAAACAGAAAAATCAGTATTACCGCAATTATTGGCTCACAATGGATTTAATACATTCTTGTCATGTGTAATCATTATTTGGGGCGCTTATGCCTGGGAGAAAAACAAATTCAGCTTTCTATTTTTCAGTGAAGGGAAAGGGACGTGCTCTGTCTCACATGCCCTCTAACAGATGCTAGTTAATAATATCAATAATGAATCCAAAATGGCATAGCAACAAGTCTCCTCAAGCTCAAGTAATTATTATGTGATTAGATGGTAACCTGATTGAGGGTCTTTCATAAGCAAATGCAATCATCTTGTTTATCTCTGAGAGCGGTTGCCGTGTCCACATGTTGGTTCTGCCATGTTAATCCACTTGTGTGCAGCACAATACGATAACATTGACTAAGAGCACAAACAGAAGAGGCTGAGGCTGAAAAGTTCAAACAGTGGTTTGTCCCAGGGCAGTTGTGGCTATAGTAGTATAGTTTACCAGCATGTGAATGAATAATTATGTTAAACTCTAAGCAATTTGGTAATTTGTCCATGAAATGCAAATACTGGGTATGATTGCTGAGGAAAAACCCAACAGGTGGTCTTCAAATTAAATGACTTAAAGTACCAATATGTAAGATTTTCATGTCAAGTCATCATTAAATGGCCCTAATCTGTCAAAAGGCATTAATAAAACATGTTCTTTTCCAATACTTCTTTAACTGATAACAGTAGTTCAGAGATATTTGGATTTCAACATTTGTTTTACAGCTCCTTAATCTTGTTATTGTTTTCATTTTGATGTCCCACCCTCTACCGTTTTACCAATCAGAAAGTCCATGATCCGGGTTGCCAGAACTCACCGCGTTGAGCTAATCTCACTGGTGAAGTACCATGTGGCCGCGGTACTAAAAAAGGTCTCGTTATGATTCTAAAATCATTAATAACAAAACAAGGAATAAAACAAGGATTTCTATCGGGACCTTTGTGAAAAAGGTGCTGGTTATAGATTTGTTGTTGACTGAGTCAGGGAGAGTGGGCGAGGTTGCAGTACCACTTTTTTTACATACTGCTTCTTTAAGTTTGAATATATTTGGTCAAAATTAGGGATGCATCTTTCCAACTATCATGTAGCGAGTTGGAGGCAGTGATCAATACTCAGTGCCTTATCCAAATGGCTAACAGGGACCAGAGCCCAGCGCCCTATTATTGTAATATTTTTCAAAAGGGACAGAATTATCATAGTTTGTATATAGATGGACTGTGCTCTCTATCGGTCTGGCTCCTTTTGACTGTTTACATACATACACATAGGAGTACACATTGAAAAATATACCCCTCTATTTACTGAGCCTCTGCAAGTAAAATTTTGTAAATAAATAATGTACATAGGTTAGAAATTGTAATTGATTTGATATTTTTTGCCCATTTTTCAGTGTAAAATCTCAATACTTTTTCCTACTGACCAGAATTGGGCGTTTCATTAGTTATTGTTACACAAGGAGTAGTTTTTTTTTTGCCTCAACTTGTACGTTAGTGTAATTACAAGTCACTTACTATTTGCAGTAGATAAAGTCCTTTTTCAGGTTAATCTGTTAATCGGTGGAAATGTTTTATTTTCATCTAGCGCTAGTTCAGTTTCAGTCTGTAAATAATAACAAGGCTCTGACACAAATAACAAACGTCTTCCCTGTGTCTCCTCAGCTGCAGAGCGACCTCGACCAGGAGTACCAGGACAAGTTCCGCCGGTTGCCCGTGGAGATCCAGGAGTTTGTTCAGGACAGCGGTAAAACCAAAATCCCAGCCTCTTCCTCCACTTCGGACAAACTCAACCACAAAGCGTCGCAATCGGAGGACGACACCGAAGAGGGCTCCACGGAGAAAGTCTACGACACGCCGCTTTAACGCTGCAAAAAAAGAGGAGAAAATAAGTTTTAAATCTGCTTGAATCAGGAACCATATACTATCTTGATATGAGTATAATTTGAGAATGTCTGAAAACAAGACTTGCCAATGGAACTAGCAGCTTACTGTAGATAATCATTTTAGTTTTAACATTTATAACTTATCATCTACACTCTCAAAAGTTGCTTTATTTGACGATTTGTTATTTATGAATCGGTGGAACAAGGCAACTACATGCAGGCTTTTTTGCTCCAAGGAAAAAAAAAAATAGGAGTTTGTTAACTTTATCAGAGTAAGGGCTGTAACGTCAACCACAATTTTGCTTTCACACAGTATGACGATTCTGAATGCTGACGTGTGAATACTTGTTTATGTTCACGCTCTACAATTACAATTTAAAATGGACTAATTTAATGTATTGATAAATTTGAATTGTGAAAATGCACATTCAAGAAAACGTGTGTAAAAGTGCCAGTGTTAGCAACAAAAGCTAGGTTGCTATAGAGTCCTGAAATATCCCCTCTCTGGCGACCAGTAAAAGGCCTCTTCTTTCCATCGCTGAATCCGATCTCCGGAACATGCGCAATTTGAAGGCGTTGGCAAGCGTTTGTTCTGCACGTGTCCGGCTTTCTAGTAACGTGTCAATTAAAAGTGTCAAAATAAATTCAGAATCTCATAAAATTCAGTCTTTAAAGTCACAGTGCACTCGCGGACAGAAGAAATCACAACTATCCCTGTGGAATAGACTGCTTTATCAAGGAAAGAGCAGTGCATGTAACCGTCTAAACAGCTACACTATGAAAAGTATGGTCCCTCGTGTGACTTGGATAGATACTGTAGATAATTTCTTGATCCCCGTAGGAGAAATTCAGACCAATCCAGTCTAGTTTACTTGCTGTGAATTTTTGAAGTTACTCATTTAAATGAACGGGGCTCGTGCCGGCTGACGCATATGTGCAGATGTATTTTTTCACATTTTCCAGCCTCCGCTGCCATTTTGAATCACTCCATGAGAGCCCAATTTTTGGCCCATTTGTTAGAACGGCGGAGATGGGCGTGACTACATCCGTTAATATATACAGTCTATGGTAGAACATGATCAATTGTCAACTTGTGATACTCCAGTCCTTGTCGCACAGGCTGAAAGGAAACAACACTCCGGATTGTGAAAATTAGGGGTATGATAAACAATTTAAACGATTTTTAAATAATGATGCAAAAAAATTAATAACATACAATATACAATACGTACATAATTTTTCAGCATTTTGTTTTTTTCCCTCATATTTTTTGTCGATTTAAAAAAATATATATATTGTTTTGTTTTGGTATTTGGCTTTTATAACAATTAATGTAGAGTCTCACTAAATAGCACCAAATGTCCAGCTTGTTCCATTGGCTAATCTTGGTATAAATCAGATTGTCCTCAAATCCAAATACAAATATCACTTACTTCAAGCACCTACAACTTATTTTTAATATTTTTTCTGCGGTGAAGGAACTCATTCACGAACTGTATACGGATATATATTTGGGACTGCTGGATTTGAATTGGACAGGTGCTATTTCTAACCACGGAGACGGATTAGGAGGTAACCGGGTGAGTAGTGGTCCACCGAATCTTGTAAATACTACTTTTTTTGTGTACGTCCCTTAAATGTTTTGTCGTCATTTGAAGCACTAACAAATGTTGCAGGATTTATTTTTACTTGAAGTATCGTTGCACAGAAGCGCAGTTGTTTTATATTGTTTTTGTTTTGACTATAACCCTAGTGCTGCTCGTGTAGTATGGTGGTGCCGAGGCGTCAACGCTACCACTGCATTTCAGCCTAAACGCTTCCATGTTTGAGTAGAGAGGTCAATATGGAGTCGGGCCTGGTTCAGATGAAAGCAAATGGAATGAACATATCTAAAAAAACAAAAACAAAAAACATAATGTGGTGATGCACTGTGGGTATTTCCATCTTCATCATGTTTGGTTAATAGCCCGTAGATTTGAATGGACTGGCTCAAGAAGGGATAGTTTGATAATAATATATTCAGCGTTTCAAACCATATCATTTTGACAAACTCTTAATAAACTCCAAATTGTGAGCTATGGAAAAGGATTACTCTATTTTGACTAAATCACAATTACAAAACAAAACAAAAAAACACATTTGATCAATAAATCAATTTTATTTATAGAGCCCTTTACAACACTCAAGACGACCAAAGTGCTTTACATTAAGATCACATAAATCCATTAAAACATGTATGCAATCAAACAATAAAACGGGTAAAAAACACCCAAAAAAATATTTTAAAAAGTGTCACTGATGATACACACTTTGACAAAATGATACTGTGACTGTTTTATATTTCTTTTATCAGACCGGCTTTGGCCCTTGTTTACTTTTTGGTTCAAATTTATGAATGTTGTCTCAACTATTACAAAATCATTGCCTTTTACAAAAGTTATAGTTATTTACACTGTAAAAAAGACACTGAATGAAAACATAATTCAAGAAATTTCTCCCGCATTAAATGATTCTATACAACGTAACCAGCAATAACAAAAGCATAGTTTCGGAGTTTAGGAAGGTTAATCTTGTCTTCTTCGTAGAATATGGTTATTTAGTTCTTACCAGACAATTGTGAGAGAGCAATGTTGTTACCTTGACATGTTTTGACAAAACTTCTGAGTAAAGAAGAACCAAATAATGTAATCTGGTGCACACTGGGCGAGTCTTGCACAGTTTTTCCAATGTGGTTTTACTGTAAATGGCAAAAAAAATCTTGAATCTTGAATAACCTTATAATAACTAAAGTATGCATGGATTGAGTAGTCTACATTAGATAATCCAAATACTTTCGTTTATTTCGTTTAGAGTTATTAATTAATATAAACTTTTTGCTTTAGCCAATCTCTTTTCAAACCAAATTAAGGGACTTAAAGACCTTATGACGGGTTTGATTTATTTAGAAATACAGTTTTAATACCATTTTATATTAGAAGAGAACTACTAAAGGTTTCAAAATCAGTTGTTTTTTTTTTTGTCTGATCCCCCCAAATCGAAATAACCCCATAGCAACGCCCTTAGAAACGAAAAAACTTCACAGCCCTTGGTGACGTTGTTTGCAATTTGGTATTTGTTCTTTTTTCGCGGATATTCAAGATGACAAGGCCGTGTACAGCGAGTCTTAGATAACTACTAGAATGAAACATTTCGTTGTCCCTGAGATAGTCCAGTGGTTGTGTCAATGGACTGCCAATCCAGATACTTGGGTTGAAATCCCACCTCAGACACTTTTTCACACTCAAAACGGCAATTTATGTGTAATGAGCAATTGTCACCTGTAGAGTGCAGTATTGTGTTGGGCATCAGTGGAGAGAAGAGAGAAAAGGCAGTCCTGTGGCATAGATCCATGGTTTTCAATGCATGGGTTAGGGTTAGTGTGACGTCAATGCTATGACGTCACACACAGGTTAGAGCATAGACAACTTAAATTCATGAAAAACACGTTCTTTTTATAAAATATAGGATTTTTTTTGCCGGAATCTCTTTCAAATTGACATTGTCATGCAATTTTGATATCCACTATTTTTTTTAAAAAAACCCGTCATAAGGTCTTTAACTATGACATTTTGATATTTTAATTGTTTGACAGCACTCATTTTTTACCTTCTCATTATTATATTCAATTTCCAAAAATAATTCATAATACATCTTTAATCGCCTTGAGTTCACAATTTCGAACTCCTTTTTTGGCAGCGTCAAATTCAACGATTCTCTTCAAAAGTCATTTCATTTATAGCTTATCCAAACATGAACATGAAACGCTCACACAAAACAACAATGGCAGATGTATCATGGAAAAGAGAGTGACATCACAATTGAAAGTGCAAAAAAAAAAAACCACATCCCAAACATGTCTTATCTGAATGTTGATGTCCATCCCAGTTGAAGCTGAACCTGGCCCCGCTCCGGCGCATTTGCACTGAGGGCTCACTGAACCTGTGTGTGACTTCAGTTTTCCCGTGGAGACTCCGGGGTCTTCCTGGATTTTCACGTCGTCACAGACTTCAGCCCGATGCGTTGCTGCTACTTTGTATTTTAATATGAATTCCTCATTGTTTTGAAACAGTTTTTTATCATCCGTTGGCATGACGATTATACGGTACACTGTTTTGTCTGTAATGTTGCTGTTTCCTTTGGGCATTTTGAAAGGAGGCTGTAAGCATTTGCATGTACTGAACAGATGTAAATGTTATATTAGTTCTATAGCAGAGACGTTTATTACTTGTAAATCTATTTTCTTGTACTTAACAGTGGCTTCGTAGGCTACGTGGCTAAAACTACTGGAATTTATCCTCAGTAAACCGTACGGTAGAGGACGGCTCTGAGATTTGTCCATTTTCACCTAAACAAAAGTCCTGCAGTAGTTTTTAGAAGTCTTCCTTTTACACATTAATATAAATATGAAGGAGAAATGTGCAACAATTGGACAGATTTCACCGTTACTTTGATGTGAGGAAATAACTCAGTCATAGGGCCGCACATACTTTACAATCTTTTTCATAAACACACATTGACAGGATACAAGGTGAAATTAAGTCATAAAAAAATACCATAAACATTTAAAATACACACAAAAAAGGGAAAGCGTACAAAGAGGGAAATACACTTTTTTAAATGATAATTAAAAAGCTATATGATTCCACAAAAACAATGATTTTTAAACGTAGCAAGTGAAATCCAGAGAAAAGGCAAGTCAAACTAAAATGAAAGAAAAATAATCCCAAAATTATGTTCAATTATTAGTATTATTATATGACTTGGACCGTACGCGCGCTCTGATTGGTTGATTTGCGGTCTGATATTTTCCCATCTCGGACCGTTACCATGACAGCCCGTATCACACAAAACCAAGTCGGACATGAACATACTTCACAAATATCTCAAAAGCATTGGTAAAGACACAGACGAGAGTCATATAATAAAACATTTATTAACCTT